AGTAGGTGCTTGCTATCTTGCATGCATCATCACTTACTTATACTGATTGAAGCCAATGATATGCAAACCACGGAAGAAGGCTGATCGACTATTCATTAATATTTTGTTCTTGCTAACTACGACCGACTTGCACGCATAATCGTCTTCGGATTAGCATGTCATGTAACTCCTCAGTTCGTGTCACAACGGCCCAAATAATAGGCATGCACAGTGAACCGCAAGACCACCTCGACGTCATAACCGTTGATGATCTCAGTTCATCAAAAATTATGATCCTTCCTTAGACAATCTATGGGAAGTCTATGTTTACTGGGACTTGTTAACGCTGGTATTCTGTGAGAGCGTGGTCCTACCCCGGTCGAGCCGACCTATTAGTGCTACAACCATAATATAGCTGCTGTGTAGTTATTTATTATCTCAGATCATAAAAAAAATTATGATCTTTCCTTAGCCTATGTTCACTGGGACTATTGATTGGCAACATCGGCTTTTTAAAACAAATCCAAATGTTTAGAACATTCCGTGAGTCTGTGGCTACCACGTTCATTCAAGATGACGTTTATGCCCTTCTCACACGAGTGACATTTTAGGCATCTCTTGGTACTAAGTATTATACATTTACGTATTATAATTTTAAATGAAATTTATAATGGACACATGGAAAATGTCTATGATTAAGCGCGAGATTATTCGTTTAATTATTACAAATTTGGTTTACAATGCGTTTTCGGCACAGTCTCCAGTATCTGAGATCGTTATCCGCCTCACTTGTTATTACTATTTGACGTTTAATATAATTTAAATAGTTTCTTCGTTTGTAAATAGTACCAATAATGGAACAACAAAAACTGGTTTTCAAGTGTATTTATTATGTAATTAAGTTCAATTTAGTCCGAAAATAATAAATTAATTTTATAAAACAGCTGCAATAATGTAAAATTAAAAGAGTACTTAACTGTTAATGCAATACAGAAACAATTTATATTGACATAGTTTTATATTATAAAATATGTATTTTTATTAAAAATATAATTTATAGACTATTTAGTACTTTCGTTTCCTCGTTCGTTTCGTTCTTTTCGTTTACCTTTGCAGCATGGACTGTTGATAAGTCCATTGTTGATCACGAACGTACCATTAGTCTTGTAGCACTGTTTTTAACAGTGGTAGAGCCACGCGGTAGCTTTTGCTATTGCACGGATGGGTCGGCTCGAGCCGGGATGGTAACACGACCTCACAGAATACCAGCGTGAAGTAGAGGCTTACCTCTGCGTTTCGCTTGGTGAGTGCAGGTGGCCGGAGGCCCTTTTTACTGGAAACGAGGCATTCCATCTTAGTCCTCACGGGTGACAACACATCTGCATTTTTATTTGTAATAGAGGATAGATTTAGATGTCTATGGGCCGCAACAACCACTTACCATCAGGTGGACTGTGTGCTCGTTTGACACCCCATTCCTTTAAAAAAAAGGGGTGTACCTGAGTTAGGATTTTATTTTATTCATAATGGGAACCCAAGCAGATGGTAGCATCCAGATGTAGTTATCAAATCTGATGTAATACAGGGGACGATCTTGATAAATTCATAGACTGCAGAAGTCTGAGAAGAATGCGTTTTATTTTAAATTGTCATCATCATCGTTACAGTCTGCCAGAAGTCCACTGCCGAGCATAAGTCCTCATAGATTGCCTCATAGAAAGAATATTAGCCATAGTTGCAACACTTGACATGCGGGTTGGTAACCGCAGTTTCTTTTTTTAAATATTTAGTTGTTACTAGGAAGACTGCTAATCTGGTTTTTCCCTCTTTCGTCTCTTACGACACCCACATAATATAGTCCATATCCACATATACATAAGGGTTAGTGGACATTATTATACCGCCACTGCATTTTTAACACTTGATTCGCTCGTTTACCAACAAATAAAGGTTTATCGATTCTCGTTTTGATATCAACCGCTAAATACCGGTTCCTTACTGATATCTTTAAAACCTGTTCCATTCACGCTACGTTTAGCTCATTAACAGAACAATAGGAACATAAAGTTATAAGGTGATAAACAACTAGGTAATGCTTGGTTCATAGACAGTATTGTTACAACAATAATACTCCGAACACGTTATGTAATCGTTAAGCCAAGTCGCGGCTGCGATAAAATTTATGCTTGAAATAGCAGTAACATGTATCCATACAAATAAATAAAATTGAAGTGTCTGTTTGTAACGTCAAAATAACAGCTTTTACTATATGCATATGAAAGTATATACGGTACTTATAACAAAAATACAATTTTTTAATTTTTTGTCTGTCTGTCTGTTCGTTCCGGCTAATCTCCGAAATGGCTGGACCGATTTTGATTGGACTTCACTTCACTAGCAGATAGCTGATGTCATAAGGAGTAACTTAGATCACTTTTATTTTAGAAAAAAAATTAGGGTTCCGCGCAAAAAAATTAAAATCCTAAATAACACGCGGGCGAAGTCGCGGGAAACAGCTAGTTTCAAATAAAAACGAGGTCGTGACCTAACAGTTTGACCAAAAAATTTAAATTTATTTCTAATAAATATAACATTTTTGATATAGAACTTAACACAAAACGGATTTTTCCGGATCAATCAGACTCGGGGACTTTCAAGTAAAGTGGCAACTCCCTTTTAAAAGGCCGGCAACGCACCTGCTATTACTCTAGTGTTGCATTTGTTCATGGGCGCAGTAGTACGTTGTATTTTATTTATTCTGTGGCAGTAGTCACTTAATATCAGTTGAGCCGCATGCTAGCTTGTCCCTTCTCCAATAAAAAAAAAACAGTGTTTTGATGCAAAATCGATTCGATTTTTTTTACATAAACATCATTAAGGCATAAGATAACCTTTTGAAGTAAAATTAATAGATAATCATTTTTTAATTGTCTTTTATCGCACTTAGTTTTCGAGATAATAGCAAAAAGTAGTTTACAACAATTGAACTATTTGCCCAAAACACACTAGTAAAAAAAACCAAAGACCACTATTATGGGTCTCCAAGTTTTTGTTAAGTTTATGTAAGTGAAAACTAGTCATCATTAAATGTGACGAAGATGTAATTAATGTCAACCACTTTACCATTCACGGCAAATGGAAAAGTGAAACTTGCAAATTTTTTCACTTCATTATTATTTTTTCTTTTAATTTATTAGCAGAAGATACAAAAAAGTTAACAGTTGTAACACTTATCACGATCCCTTCAAACCGTATCTTGTAAACCAATTTTGAAATGAAAACAACATTTGCTCAGTAACAAACTTTAATAGGAATTCAAAACTTATAACGTTGTTAGAAGTTGGAAAATTGGAACGAAAAAAATATTACAAAATTAAATTAAAAAAAGACATCCGAATTTGAATCATATATAAATTAACAATATTTAACATTCTTATAAAGAACTTTTCTTATAGCTCAAGAGTCCATTGCTGAACATAAACATCCCAAAGGATTACCGCACAATACGGTAGTGGTCCCAAGTGACTTACATCCATTGACTTTCTTCGTGTCTTATCAGATTGTCACTACATGTAGTCACCATTCAAGAATCTATCTTAATTTCCTATATGGCCAACCAATTGTCAGTTCCACCACACTCATTCTTAGCTTAATCAGTTCGAACGTAGGTACTTTTATAGTGTTATCATTATAAGTTTAATCATCATCGTTATTATGATGTTCACAATTAATTTAAAAAAAATACAAAATATCTTGGGCTTATATAACAATACTAATACAATACCTGCAAGAGCAAAGGTCTCCTCTTTTTAGGAGGCATATAAAATCGGTAGTTACTTGTTTCCCCGCGTAAATGGTACGTCATAGATTCACACCTTTTTAAAGACTTATTTCTGAAACCTATTGTTATATATAAGACACTTTTCTCTCTTAAGCACCAATACATAAGATTTTTGACGAGACCGCCACCAAAATAAAACGCACAACTGTTTTTGGTAAGTTACGTGCGACAATATAGAAAATATTAAGTACTAAGAACAAAAAAAAAAGCGAGTCTTACAGTAGTCGCATATGATTAGTAACATCTGATATCTTACCTTGGTAAGAAGTAACATTAACATTATATGTTGAAAAAATTATTTGTTTTTTTTTTTATTATTACAATTAAAAATATCTATTGTGCGGCGATAGAAATTAACCTCAAAATTTATAAAAGCTAAATACTGAAATATTTATTCGAATAATTATTCATTATTACTCACATTCATTTTTTATCAATGATCTGCACTTTTTTCACACACTTATTATCAACAGTTAATACATTTATTAATACAATTTACACATAATATAGGTAAATTTGTTTATACAACATGTAACAAAACCCTGTGGTTCCCGTTAATTACGTTATCAGGATCAGTATTCAAACCTATAGAAATAACTTTTTTTTTAAAACTCAAACATATTTTTTTTAATTTTATTAAAAAAAACAATTTTATGTGGTTTTATTACCTCTTACTGACACTAGCCGATGCTAAAGCTAAGTAAAGCTGGATCTTTGACAATCCTCTTACTCCCCAGACAATGCAGAGGTAATAAAACCACATACAATTTGCATACAATTATTTTTTTTAAATAAAATAAAAAAATTTGTTCGAGTTTTAAAAAAAAAAGTTATTTCTATACGTTTGAATAATGATCCTGATAACGTACTTAACGGGAACCACAGGGTTTTTGTTACATATTGTATAATAGTACACTTTACTAACACCGCGCACGCTCATTGGTGAAATCAAATAGCGCGCGCTTCCCTGGCTTCCTGTTACACACTTCGATTACTACCCACAGATTGTGGGAAAGGAGAGGAAAGAGTTTACACATCAAAAAAAAAATATCCCAAAAATTCACAAGTATGTAACACAACAAACGTATAACTTATAACAGCCCTTTAGTTCTTATCATACTTGTTGGAATAACATTATAAAATCTTATACAATATAACAAATGCTAATTACTAGTAAACATTAACATCGCTCTTTGTACTTAGGATTCCACCAAGTCCTAAAATTTTTATACACCGTCTGTTGTTCCACTAATGTGTCATTGTTAAGTGCAGCGCACAGTGCGCACACATTGTCCGACGTGGATGAGTCGTAATAGGTGTAATGATTCTTCCATCTGAAGTAGCTATTATATAAAATAGGAGACTGCATCAAACGAGCCATGGTGTCGGCCAATTCTCTGGGAGACATCTTCAGAGCATCCAAGTACGTATCCGGGGGTAAGAATCTGTATTAAAGAAAAAATTGCATTAATTTGTAACAAAATATTTTATATATCTAAATAAGAGTGACTAACTAGCACGCAGTACACCTGATTGTAAGTGGATACTGAGGCTCATGGGCAGATGCCCAGCAGATGCGTTGTCACACCTGGTGACTAAGACGAAATGCCTCGTTACCAGTAAAACGGGTATCCGGTTCTCTACACTCACCATACGAAACACAACAAATATAAACTGCTATTTTACGCTGATATTCTGTGAGAGCGTGGTCCTACACCGGACGAGTCGACCCATTCGTGCTACACCATAATGTAGCTGCAGCGTGGGTCTACCGCGTATAAATAGCAAGACACAGTGTAATTAATTAGAATGGATTCTGTATAAAATTAAAAATTTACTGTTACTAGCTGTGTGTACTAACTAAAAGAAAAAACATTCAATCTATTACGAACGAATTCAATCTATTACGTACGAATAAATACAGTAATGATTTGACATGTGTGACTTAAAATATTTGTTATAAAATAAAAACAAATAACATAAAAAGAAACAGAGAGAAAAACAAAAGGCGGTACATAAGAAAAAAATATATAATATATAACATGAAGATAAATATAAGGATCTTGAAAAATAAAGTGACGGCACTCTAAATCCAATATGGCGGACTTCTAAAGATGGCGAACTAAGTTTTTATACTTTCCTAAAATATGGGTGTACCGTGTAGTGGCGGTCAAGAATATCCACTACCCCATATCCTCCCGTGGGTGTCGTAAAAGGTGACAAAGGGAAACAGGCAGGAGATGGGCAGCAGCATCTTCCTGATAATAGCCAAATTACAATAAAAAAACTGCGGTTGCCAACCCGCTCGCCAAGCGTGGCAACTATGGCAAATACCCCCCAATGAATAAAGCAACAAACAGACGGCCCCCAGTCCCCGGCGGCCCCGCTATTCCTGGCTACGGTGGCGACCATGGTAACGGCGGGGCAGGGGGTGCTAAGAATCTCCGGTGGAGGTTCGGTGGCCACCTTAGACGACTCGACCTGGCAACGTACAACGCACGCACCCTGAGGACTGACGAGAAGATCGTGGAGCTGGAAGAAGAGATAGACAAGTTGCGCTGGCATATTATAGGATTATCCGAAGTCCGAAGAGAGGGGGAGGACACGGTAATCCTCGAATCCGGCAACTTGCTCTATCACCGGGAGGGCGACCATCTGTCCCAAGGAGGTGTCGGATTTATCATCCACAAGTCTCTCGTTAACAACGTTGTAAAGATCGGGAGTGTGTCGACGAGGGTTGCGTACCTTATACTCAGAATCACCAAACGGTATTCGCTGAAGGTCATACAGGTTTACGCACCAACCTCGGCACACCCCGATGAGGAGGTGGAGGAAATGTATGAGGATATCTCTAGAGCCATGCATTCCTCCAAAACCAGATATACGGTGTTAATGGGAGACTTCAATGCAAAACTAGGCACAAGAGAGAACGGTGAGCTGAAAGTAGGGAAATTTGGAATAGGGCAACGGAACCCAAGGGGCCAGCAGCTGGCCGACTTCATGGAGAAAGAGGGACTCTTTATGATGAACTCTTTCTTCCAGAAGCGGCCCCACAGGAAGTGGACCTGGTCGAGCCCCGACGGTTCCACAAAAAATGAGATTGACTTCATTATGACGACCAGACGACAACTGTTCAGTGATGTCTCCGTGATCGCGAGAGTGAAAACTGGTAGCGATGACCGAATGGTTAGAGGCACACTGAACCTAAACGTTAAGTTGGAGAGGTCTCGTCTAATGAAGTCAACGCTCCGTCCCCCTCGTGCTCTGTTCCAAAGTCCCGAAACCTTTCAGCTCGAGTTACAAAACCGTTTTCAGTGCCTGGAAGACTGCAATAAAGTGGACGATATGAATGACAAGCTCGTGGAAACTGTCCATGCGGTCGGAGCTAAGTTCTGCAAGACCCGCCGCAGAAGAACACAAAAACTCTCCGATCACACTCTTAATCTCATGGCTGTTAGACGGGAGATGAAGCTACATTCTTCAACAGACTTGACAGCATACAGGCATCTGAACAGACAGATCTCCAAATGCATGCGGCGGGACTTACGCAACTTCAATACAGCTCGTATTGAAGAAGCGATCGAGCGGAACCAAGGCTCCAAAGTCTTTGCCAGAGATCTGTCTGCCAGAAAGAGCCAACTGTCAAAGCTGAAAACAGAATGTGGCAGCATCGTTTCCGGGACACCTCAGATTTTGAGTGAGATTGAGAGGTTCTATGGGCAGCTGTACACATCATCGTTGGAGCCACACGCAAGTGTGAGTAACGATCCAAGAGCGAGTCTCATCCGACTCTATTCCGAAGATATCCCGGATGTCAGTCTGAGCGAGATTAGGATGGCTCTCCAGCACCTTAAAAACGGTAAGGCCCCAGGCGAGGATGGAATTACAGCGGAGCTTCTGAAAGCGGGTGGAAGACCGGTACTTGAAGTCCTTCAGAAGCTCTTTAATTCCGTCCTGCATGGTGGCATTACACCGGAGGCGTGGAGCAGAAGTGCGGTGGTCTTGTTCTTCAAGAAAGGTGACAACGCTCTCTTGAAGAACTACAGACCGATTTCCCTTCTGAGCCGCGTCTACGTGCTGTTTTCGAGAGTCATTACGAATCGTCTCGCGCGCGGACTTGACGACTTCCAGCCTCCCGAACAAGCCGGTTTCCGAAAGGGCTTTAGCACCATAGACCACATACATACCCTTCGGCAAGTTGTACAGAAGTCCGAAGAGTACAATTTGCCACTATGTCTGGCGTATGTGGACTATGAGAAAGCCTTTGATTCCGTCGAAATTTGGGCGGTGCTGCAGTCCCTTCAGCGGTGCCAAGTTGACTGTCGGTATATCGAAGTGTTGAAGTGCTTGTACAGTAGGGCTACGATGGCTATCCGAGTACAGAACCAGAGTACGAAACCTATCCAATTGCAGAGAGGTGTAAGACAGGGTGACGTCATATCCCCGAAACTCTTCACCGCTGCATTGGAAGACGTTTTCAAGCTTCTGGACTGGAAAGGATACGGTATCAACATCAATGGCGAGTACATCACTCACCTTCGATTTGCCGACGATATAGTCCTTATGGCAGAATCCCTGGAGGACCTAAGCACTATGCTCAATGACCTCAATAGTGTTTCCCAACGGATAGGTCTTAAGATGAACATGGACAAAACAAAGATCATGTTTAATGTCCATGTCACACCTATGCCGGTAGTTGTTGGGAGCACTAAGCTCGAAGTTGTTGACGAGTATGTTTACCTGGGACAAATAGTCCGACTAGGTAAGTCCAACTTCGACCGAGAGGTCAATCGACGGATTCAGCTCGGCTGGGTAGCGATCGGGAAGCTACGACACATCTTCTCGTCAGACATACCTCAAAACCTTAAAACGAAATTGTACAACCAGTGCGTGTTGCCAGTGATGACTTACGGAACTGAGACGTGGTCCTTCACTGCTGGCCGTATGAGGAAGCTCAAGGTCGCTCAGCGAGCTATGGAGAGGGCTATGCTCGGAGTTTCTCTGCGTGATAAACTTAGGAATGAGGATATCCGCAGTAGAACCAGAGTAACCGACATAGCCCAACGGATTAGTAAGCTGAAGTGGCAGTGGGCCGGCCATATAGCTCGAAGAACCGACAACCGATGGGGAAGAAAGGTTCTCGAGTGGCAGCCTCGTACTGGTAGGCGAAGTGTAGGGGGTGCCCCACGAGATGGAGTGACGACCTGGTAAGACATGCAGGAAGTCGATGGATGCAGGTGGCTCAGGACCGTGCTTTGTGGCATTCTTTGGGGGAGGCCTATGTTCAGCAGTGGACTTGTGAAGGGCTGTAATGATGATGATGATGAAAATATGGGTGTCAAATGAAAGGGCTTGCTTAGTATAACTCGAAAAATAAAGTGACTTCACTCTAACTCCAATATGGCGGACTAAGTTTTTTATGCTTTCCTACAATATGGGTATCAAATGAAAGGACTTGCTGAGAACATGAATGCGAGTAAACCAAAAATAATAAACTCGGTTGTTCTAATCCGTCTGAAATTTTGGTGTACTGGCGTTTGTCCTCGATAATGATATTGAGGTCGGATTTTTCGAGCATCGGTTGGTTAACTTTGACTTGTGTAATTTTGCGAGATAGGCGTCAACAGCATTGGTTTGCAACCTGTCTAGGAGAAGGGTAACTCCAAAATCAAACCAGGAACTGTGTTTCATAAGGCACAAGTAAGCTTCAAGCTGAAATAAATAGTGCATTCCTCCAAACACCCGAGGCAAGGTGAGGCCGTGCCGAGGACTGAGTGGCATCAGGGTGTAACATGATGGTTTTTGGAGTCCTCGAATATGATATTGAGGTCGAATTGCTCGAGTCTGTAGCATTGGTTGATAGATTTTAACTGTCCAAAGGTCTGGTGAATGGTGCCATTGGACATATTACAGAAATCATATGGCCCTGCTTCCAGAGAGCACAAATGTATGATACTGACATACCATCCGGCCGTATAGACTTCTTTAAAGACGGTGTTCATCTCATTAAACCCAAGACTGTACAATTTCCAGCAAAATATAGTCACAGCACTGCAGAACGAAGAATGCTGCCAATTATATTATGTTGGGCTTGCACAGTACACAAAATGCAGGCTAGTACTGTCGACCATGCCGCTGTATACTTAGGATCGAAGCTCTTTGCTGCTGGTCAAGCATACGTTAAGTAGGATAAAATCATTAGAAGGTCTTCTTATTGAAGAGCTAGACTGTTCGAAATTAACCGACAAACGACCTTGCAACAATGATGCGTTGTATGACATAATTAGACTGAGAAACCTGTCCTGCGATAACTAAAAAGTAAAAAATAAATTAAAAGTAAAAAAAAATCTTTTTTTTGAAACAAGCTTACTATCAACTTATAAAGTCATTACACAATTCATATGATATAAAAGCTTGTCGCGAAATTTACCTGTGTAGATAAACAGGATCTGATTGATGTTATTTTTTTTAAATTTTCAAACGAAGTAAATACAAGTAAACTCGAAATTAGTAGAAACATAAATCTCGCGACAAGCTTTTATATCATATAAATTGTGTAATGACGTCATATGTTGATAGTAAAAGCTTTAAAGGATAAGTTTTTTACTTATGTTATTAATTATCACTAAAAAAAACTAGTAAGGACTGTCTTTGTGTTTGTTTGAATATTTACGGGACTTTGATATACAGTGAAACTGATAACTTCTAAAAATAATCGGGGCAGTAAGAAGTCATTATGTCATTATAGTTATTATCACTGTGACTATCAGTCAGCATCAGTAGCAGTCCGTTGACATCTGCAGCCTACTTATGCATTCTCACATATGAGTACTAAGACGGAACACCTGACAGCTTGTTATTGTACTGTCTCTCTGAACCGAACGAACTGAAACGCATCAATGGAAGCACTAATATTTGGCAGCAGAAATAGGTAAAACGGAGCCGTAGGCAGAAAAAGATTTAAGTTAGTAAAACTTCAATCATTCATTCATTGTCATTGCACCCCATCAAATGGTGAGTTGAGTGGATCTGCTGTCAACGTGCAGCTATGTTACGGTTGTAGCACGAATGGTGTATGGCCACGCTCTCACAGAATACCAGCGTAAAATAGCAGCTAAATGCTGCTGTGCTTCGTTTGGCGAGTGTAGAGAACTGGAGACCCTTTTTACTGGAAACGAGGCGTTCCATCTTAGTCCTAAGGTATGACAACGCATCTGCATTTTGATTCGCAAACGAGGATAAATGTAAATGTCTATGTATATTTTGATTCTTAATCAAGGATATATATTTATTCTAAATATCTATATATTTATTAGCCACAGCACCCACTTACCATCAGGTGGAGTGTGTATTCGTTTGTCACGCTTATTCTATAAAAAATATCACAACGCACATAAATTTTAACTACGTTATACGAGAATTTACAACAAATTTCGTATTATATTACATATTATATATCATCATTACAGCCCTTCAAAAGTCCACAGACTTGAACATAGACCCCCCCCCCCAATAGTGCCCAATAGGTCGGATATTTGCCATAGTCGTTACGCATGATAGGGAGTCCGCAACCACAGTTTTTTCTATGTTATTAGGAATACGCTGCTCCCAATTTTCTTGTTTTGTCTCCCTTTGTCGCTTCTTACGATACCTACGGGTGGTGGATATTCTTACACCGCTACTATAGGGTACACATTTAGTAAATTTATAAGAAAGTTTCACTGGGTTTCGTACTGGTTCTTACAATTGACCAGGGTCAGGGCAAGCTCCACCTTTTTTTAGCTTTTATGGTTAAAACATTAACCATAAAAATAAACCATAACTATCTTCAATAAGTATTATGTATGTAGATAAAATTAGGGTTTTTCTATTCTATTCTGTTCTATAGTGGATTAATGCTAATCGAAAATTTACCTTGTATAATTTGCACCACCATATACAATAGGCACTGTGTCATGTTCCAGAGCTGTCAGAACTTTCTCTGTAACATAATCTTCCGCGAATGAATTCTCTAAAGACATGTAAAAGAAATAATCCCGTTCTAACATATCATCACAACTGTGTTTAGCATGTCTAGGGCATTTCAATGGGCCACAATCGCCATACACGTCCACAGCTAGGCCATATTGTTGTAAATATTTTTGTAAATTCCTTACTAATGCTTTTCTTCCACTTCTGCTAGAACAATTTGACACGAACCATGCCGCTGCCTTGCTTTTATTCCCGTTAAACGTTACATCTTCTTCAACTGATAGAATTTCCTTCCATTTCATATCCTCCTTCGGCCCCACAACTTCACCGTTAAGATTTTTTATTTTTATATATGTAAATGGAATGTCAGAGTTCAATTTATATGTCGCCGTCCAATTAAAAAAATCATCGAACATGGAATTACACACGGGATAATTATCTGAAGATTCCATATTGAAATATATATATTTCTGATGCGGCGACCTATATTTTGGAAGCTCATATTTTGTCAAGTGTTTAATATTGCGCCCGTTGAACGCTATGGCATCGAAATTGGTGGTATCACCATCGAAGAAATACCTGTTATCTGTAACGTAACAGTTTATCATAGAACAGTTGTACTTAATGAATGCGCGTTGCCCCTCTCCCAGTTGATGGAACGGTTCATAATCTTTCCGTGTCCACAGCAAAATATATTTAAGGTCCTTCGACAGCCATTCCTTTTTTTTGTAAACCTCCACATATCGAGAATCTCTTGCGATATTTTCCAGTGCCTCTTGTACAATATTGTCGTCCTCTGGCATGTAATTTTCTTTGCTTGTTAACTGTATAAACAATATGGAAATAAGAAAACTGGCGGAGATAACCAATAAGAAGAATTTAACGGTGGTCGTTTTAATCAATACTGAGGTGAAACAATACGGTAGCTTAACGAATAAAGGCATGTTTGCAGCGTCATGATAAGGCACTTTCTGGAGTGATCTGCGTTGGCGGGCATTGGTGTGTCTAGTTCAAGTATCTTGTCACTTGTACCTGTAGAAAAAAAGTTAAAGTTTTTTAGTTTCTATAAAAAAGGCACTGTAATCTCCACAATCATATCTTTTTTTATATAAAACTGTAGTTTAACGAACTTAAGCTTAAACGTAAGTTTAACTTACAGTCTACAAGATAGCAAGTGGCTACTGCAGTAAATGGACACCTGTCGTAAACTTTAAACGAAGAAAGCTATCCTCTACCTCTACCTACTAAGATGGTTTCTAAATGTAGTGAGAAAGATTTTGATTTTGATTGAATTGTTTTACTAATTGGTTATATTATAAGGATCGGTTATATGTCGAACGGGCGACATGCGCCTCACTGGTTGCCAAATGGATGGCGCATTGACCAGGCCTCTGTCACTCTTGCTACCTACATGAATCGCGAACTGCCCCAGGCGTAGATTGCATTCGATCTAGAGCGCTCTATACGATTGAATATTAAAGTTTTTTAACGCTGTTTACGTAAATAATTTTTTGTAAATACTTGTTGAAATAGGGGGATGAGTCGCTCGCGTCCGTAGGCTTCGACCACCTAATCCTAGGCCCACCCTACACGTGTCCCCCGGGTGGTGCTAAACGAGCGACAAAGCCGAAACGACAGACTCGGCTCCTCGCCGTATGGTAGCGGCGTAAAATCTACCACCCCCTTAGTTCGCACCATGAGCCTAGTAGAAAAAGAAATGGCCCCGAGTTCCCGGCGCCCCTTTAATGGGGCAGGGGTGCGAAGAATCTCCGGGAGAAAAACCGGCGACGAGGTTCGCTACCCGTCACGTCCTGTCTCCCGGAGGGGCGAAAAGTGGATTGCGGAGGCCCGTCTGGCTACGCTGAATATATGTGGAGCAATGAATGATAAGATGGATGAAGTATGCGAAATGATGAATGATAGAGGAATAGATGTGTTATGTGTAAACGAGACGAAACGAAAGGGAAGAGATGTCACTGCACATGGCATGTATACCGCTTACTGGTCTGGAGTAGACGAGACCGAGCGGGCATGCCAGGGAGTCGGTGTCATCCTTTCAGAAAGAATGGGTCAATGTGTGAAAGAGTATGAATGTGTTAGCCCAAGGCTGCTGTGGATACGAATGAAAGTGGGCTTAAAGAAGTTGTTTGTGCTAGGGGTGTACGCCCCAGATATGTCTAAGCCCACTTATATCCGAGAGCAGTTTTGGGACATGGTAAGGCTGGTGTTGATGAAATGTAAGGAAAATGAAAATATTATTATGTTAGGAGATTTTAATGGAAGGGTGGGGGTGAAGAGGTCTGGTTATGAAAGGATATTAGGAACGTTTGGCGATGAAAGAATAAATGAGAATGGTGAAGACCTCCTCACCGTATGTGTGGAAAAGAATCTTTTTGTGGCGAACACTTTCTTTCGCCATAAGAGGATTCACATGTATACATGGGAAAGAGGGGATGATAGAAGCATGATAGATTTTATAATTGTGGATGAAAGAATGAGGAGCGCAGTGGTAGATACAAGGGTTTACCGGGGGTCCAACGTAGGGACGGATCATTACTTGGTCTTATGCCGAATTAATGGTCTATTCAGACGTTGGCGGCATCGGACATCGGTGTCTACCACTGCGTTACAGCGTATAAGAATAGAGAGGTTACAAGATGAAGGTGTGAAAGAGAAGTATAAATGCAGACTGAGGGAAAATATAAGTGGGTTGAATGAATTATGTATGAATGATTTAGAATTGAAGAATGTATGGAATAATATTAAGAGAGTTCTGGTGGATGCAGCCACCGAAGTATGCGGTGTAAGTAAGAGAACGAATGAAAGGAAAAGTAATACGTTGTGGTGGGATGATGAGGTACGGATGGAAGTTGAAGCAAAGAAGAGAGCATGGCTAGATTTACTAGCAACTAAAGCTGGTAATTCTGGCGGTATGAATGATGAGATTGAAAGAAAAAAGGCAAACTTTAGACGTATAAATAAGAGAGTAAAAGAAGTTGTTGAAAGGAAAAAGCAAGAAAGGATAGATAAAAATGATAGAAGGATATCTGATAACTTCCAGGAAAATATTAAAATGTTCTGGAAGCTCGTAAGAACTGCCAGGGGAATTTCAAAACAGCCTAGAATGAATGCTATACGAGACGAGAATGGCTGCATGCTGAATGATGAAGTTTCGAATTTAAAGAGATGGAAGGAATACTTTGAAAGCGTGTTTAAGAGTGAAGAGTCGTCTGAAATAAGTGAAATAGAAATTCCGGAAGAAGTGGAGAGAGGTAGGGAGATAAGTGTAGATGAAATAATGAAAGCAATGAAAAGCATGAAAGCAGGTAAGGCAGCCGGATATGATAGAGTATCACTCGAAATGCTAAGGGCTGGTGAGGGTGTGGTTGCAGGCCTGCTGCACACCTTGTTTAATTTATGTTGGGAACTGAAACGGGTACCGGAAGACTGGTGCAAAGCCGTTATAGTCCCAATATATAAGGGAAAGGGGTCGCAGCAGGACTGTAAAAACTACCGTGGTATCAGCTTGCTTAGCATTGTGGGTAAACTGTATGCTAAGGTGTTAATTGAAAGAGTTATGGAAGAAACTGATGGAAAAATTTGGGATGTGCAAGCTGGATTTAGAAAGGGGATGGGGTGTACGGATCAAGTCTTTTCCATGCGCATGATAGCGGAGAAGTTTTTGGCTAAAAACCAGAAAGTTTTTTGTGCGTTCTTGGACTTGGAAAAGGCTTATGACAGAGTGGACAGGAACGTGTTATGGCAAACACTGAACTCATTTGGGTTGAGCGCTGGCTTGATACAGGCATTAAGGTCTCTTTATAGGGACTCTAGTGCTTGTGTCAGGATCAACGGGGTCTACTCGGACTGGTTTGGCATTCATAAAGGTGTCAGACAGGGATGTGTGGCTTCCCCGTGGCTGTTTAACCTATTTATGGACAGTTGTTTGCAAACTTTGAAAGTTGAAGAATGTGGGTTGAGAATGGGTGAGTCAACCGTCAAATGCCTTTTGTACGCCGATGATCAAGTCATATTTGCATCGTCGGCGGCCGAGTTGCAAATGATGGTTACTTTAATGAATTGTTCATTGAAAGAAAGGGGTATGAAAGTGAACGCAAGTAAGACGAAAGTGATGGTTTTTGAAAGAGAAGAAAGTAAAACTTTATGTAAAATAAGAATAGAAGGGGAGTTGATTGAGCAAGTGGATGAGTTTGTATATTTGGGATGTTTATTTAGCAGGGATGGTAGATATGATAAGGATATAGAACGACGAGTGAACGCAGGAAATAGAGTGAATGGGGCTCTACACGCTATTGTGAGGAGTCAGAATGTGTCAACTAAGGCACGTATGGCAATTCATAATGCTGTGTTAGTACCCACTTTAATGTATGGTAGTGAAAGTTGGGTCTGGCAGAAGAAGCATGAGAGTAGAATAAATGCTGTAGAAATGCGTTCCTTAAGGAGTATGCTAGGGCTGAATCTGAATGACAGGGTGAGAAATAGTGTAATAAGAGAAAAGTGTGGTTTGCAAGATGACGTTGTGACAAGGATTAAGAAAGGAATGCTTCGGTGGTTTGGTCACGTAGAAAGAATGAACGAGGAAAGAGTGACAAAGCAAATTTATGTTGCAGAAGTGAACGGCAGGGTCGGGAAGGGACGCCCTAGACGAAGGTTTATCGACCAGATCGGCGATACATTGAAAATGGGCCAGATTAGGAGTACCCTTAACCGACGAGCGTGTATGCGTAGATATATGGATGTGAAAGAGGCGAGAGAGGTGTGTCAGGATCGCGCCAAATGGAAGTCCGTAGTCTCTGCCTACCCCTCTGGGTGACAGGCGTGAGTGTTTATGTATGTATGTATGTATTGTTGAAATACTCGTCGAAATAGTTTAGTGAAGTGTTTAGTATATTTAATCTATACTTCTATACTAATATAATAAAGCGGAAGAGTTTGTTTGTTTTTTTGTTTGCTTAAACGCGATAATCTCTGGAACTGCCAGTCCGATTTGAAAAATTCTTTTTGTATATTATAGCCATATTCATGTGAAATAGTATAGTTTATATAACATTAAGCTATATCACTCATCTAGCCTTAAATATAGATATTTGTTAAGCAAGTCAGAAGAAAAAGCGCTCCCGAGATGATTTATCCGCGTACTCTGCTGTTATGGTTAGGGATACGTAAATACAATGTTCTAGAAAAATATAGATCTTTACTCCGTCTAAAAAAAGTCCGTGATACCATATGTCTGTTTCTTATACATAAGCCATAATTAGGTATTTTGTGACAAAAAAATATTGAAAATGAAAAAGTGATTTATAAGCGTTATTATTAGGCCTGGTCTATTTATCCTTACGAACGAAAGTTACTTCATCATCAAGACAATTTTATAAAGATAAACTTTGTTCTTTATACCATGTTATTTGGACGCATAGTTTAGGAGATAATGTAAAATTAAAATAATTCAATTCTTGGCTGGGCGCGCGAACGACGCATAAACTCTAGCCGCCCGGTGAGAACAGTATTGAAAGCTTCTATGAGCGAGGTTATTTCAATCATTATAGCTAAAATAAATTAAAAATTAATTGAGTACTTTTATGACAATGATTAGTTACATCTTTATTTCTGAACTCTTTCATTTCACGTTGCTATGGTTTTTGTTATTCAATTTTTGTATTATTCATTAATTGTATTATTCAATTTTCAAATACAATAATACCTGCGAATACCTAATAAAGAATACCTGCGAAGTTTTATTCGCCAATTCTTCTCCAATCTGAGGAATCTCATTTAAAAACGGTAGTAAATTTAGTAGATTTATGAAATAACATTTAAGAAACGAAAGAGCAATGGCAGACTTTCATACATAAAATTAGTTGAGAAGAAATGGTAGCGTCTATATACCAAAAATATCTCAAAATGTTAAGCGTTAATCCCTTAA